ATTCTAAACCTATGATTCATGAAGAGAACTTGAAAACCAGTGTTCTCTGTTGAACAGTTGAGACCATCTCATGGCAGAGCATTTAAGCTCAGTTAAACGTGTCCCCTCCCGTCCCTGATCCCACCCATCAGCTCCCGGGGCATCTTCCCTGGAGGCAGCCCCCCGTGAGGAGTCACTTGTGTCTTTTTCCAGATGTATTCTATTTTTATTTAAGCATTTGCAGTTAATTACTGAGCTTCCTGTAAAAAACTGGGAATGTTCATTCCTCTGCCCTCCTTGTTTGTTTTTTGATAACTTACGAGATTGGAGAGCAGAAGGTTCCCAAGTTCATTGCTTTCCTCCACAACTATTTCTTGAGTGCTTTCTGTGCGCGTTGTGCCCGTGCTGGGGACAGAGGGAATAGGTAAGGTCCCAGCCCTCCTGGAACTCACATTCTGATCGTAGGAGACAGAGTAAGCAAACCACCAGATAAGCAGAATAAGGATAAGGTGCAATAAACATTGTGGGGGCAGGGGGTGGGGGTGGGGTGGAAGTGAAGTTAGAAAAGAATTGGATGGTGGTAGTTGGGGCACCTGCTACTCATAAGATGGCCTCTGGGAGGAGGGTGGCATCGAAAGGAAGTTGAGGGACCCAGCTTGGGGAGATCGGGGCAGAATTGCAGGCAGAGAGCGGCATGTGCAAAGGCCCTGTGGTCAGGGAAAGATTGGCATGCTGGTACAAGGAAGGCCGGTGAGGAAACTGACACGGTGAGTTGGTCAGGGGCGGGGAGAGGATGTCGGATGAAACACCAGCGGCCAAAATCATGGAGAGCCGTGGTTCTCAAAGCTTTCAGTCACAGGAGCTCATGGCACTCTTAAAAATGACTGAGGGCCCCAAAGAGTTTGTAGGCACATGGGCTGCGTGGAGAAGGGATTGTAGGGGCAGGAGAAGCCGGGAGGCCAGGGGGATGCCTGCTCTGTCTCCGCGGGGGAGAGATGCCGACAGGTGCCATGGGGGCGGTGGCACCCGAGGTGGAGAGAAGCAGTGAAAGCAGAGGGGACGGACGCAGGAGGCAAGAGCTCGTGAATCGGAAGCTCTGGGGACGCCTGGGTGGCCCCGTCAGTTGAGCGTCCGACTCGCGATTTGGGTTCAGGTCGTGATCTCACGGTGCGTGAGTTCGAGCCCCGCATCGGGCTCTGCGCTGGCAGCGTGGAGCCTGCTTGGGATTCTCTCTCTCTCTCTCTCTCTCTCTCTCTCTCTCTCTCTGCCCCTCCCAGCTCTCCCTCTCTCAAAATAAATAAATAATGTTAAAAAAATAAAGAAAGAAGCTGTAGGTCGGGGGCCCGGCGGGCTCAGGCAGGCACTCTCTTCCCGCAGGTACACGCGTACATCATCAGCTACTTGAAGAAGGAGATGCCCTCCGTGTTTGGCAAGGAGAACAAGAAGAAGCAGTTAATCCTCAAGTTGCCCGTCATCTTTGCGAAGATTCAGCTGGAGCATCACATATCGCCTGGTGACTTTCCCGACTGCCAGAAAATGCAGGTGGGAGGTCGCCCAGGAAGGGGGCAGAAGGGGGCAGCTTTTGGCTTCAGGGGTGGGGGCCTCGAAAACCGGAGGGATGGAGGGCAGGTTCCGGAGAACGCCTCCTGCGCGCGGTTCCGTAAGAGCGTGGTTTTGTGCGTTAGGTCGAGACAAGAGAAAACCGCAAATAACTGGTGTAGTTAGGGTGGAAGTTGGCTTCTCTCCATAAAGTCCTAGAAGGTGGCCCAGGGCTGGTTTGGTGCTTTACAGAGCCGGGGACCCTGTCCCCTTCTTAGTTGTCCTCCATGTCTGGCTTCCGGTTCCAAGAACCCCACATGGTACAGAATGGCTGTCGAACCTCCAGCCATTTCATCTGCATTCCAGCCAGCAAGAAGAGGTGAGGGAGAAGGGAGGGAAAGATAATGATACAGTCTCTCTCTCTCCCTTTTCTTTTTAAGATTTTATTTTTAAGTAGTCTCTGCACCCGGTGTGGGGTTTGACCTCAACCCCAAGAGCGATCAAGAGTCACATGCTGTATGGACTGAGCCAGCCAGGCACGCCTACACTCTCTTTAAGGATTTTTTTCTAGAACAGTGCCATCCAATAGCACCTTCTACCATGTTGGAAATGTTCTACGTTGTGCCGTCCAATATGGTAGCTGCTGGCCCCATTGAAACTGAAAGTTTAGGTTTTATTTAATTTTAACTAATTTAATATTTTTTAATGTTTATTTTGAGAGAGAGAGACAGAGCATGAGCAG